TCCGATCCGCTGACATCGTCCAAATATATATCTCATTCATCAGATCCAGAATTGAATATGCATCCCCTGTATGGTCGTCAATACCTAAATCATTATCTGACATTCTCGAATCTGTTCAAAAGAGAGCATTGAGAATAGCTTATCCAGATCTGTTATACGATGAAGCCCTTGAAATTTCAAACTTACAGTATCTGAGTACTCGTAGAGACATCTCTTGCAAGAAATTCGTCGAATCTCTGCGACGTGATGTTTCACCCTACAACCCTTTGACCCAAATTATGGAAATTCGTCCCGGGGTAAAAACTCATAATTATGACTTAAGGAATGACAGAACGGCCGAACAACCTTTATGGTCAGAAACCACTGAACGGTTAAAAAACTTCGTGACTAGGAAATATTATTAGCTTTATAGTTAATTAACAGTCCTAACTAAATAAACATTATTTTATATAATATATATATATGTACATTTTAATATAAATTTTTATGCTATATTAGTACTCCATGTAATTCAGTTTTCCTTTAAAAACTGCAAATTGGTTTTAATTAAACAGATTGATTGATTGATTGATTGAAACACAACATAAGAGACGAACGGCCATGTTGGTGTGATTTTGAAAAAGAATAACCCTCATTCTGACATTAAAAGAAGTCGGAATTCAAAAAAAAAATTGGAATTTGAAAAAAAGGTGGAATTTAAAAAAAAAGTCGGAATTCGAAAAAAAAAGTCGGAATTTAAAAAAAGTTGGAATTTTAAAAAAAAAGTCGGAATTCGAAAAAAAAAGTCGGAATTTTAAAAAAGTCGGAATTTTAAAAAAAAAGTCGGAATTCGAAAAAAAAAGTCGGAATTTAAAAAAAGTTGGAATTTTAAAAAAAAAGTCTGAATTTAAAAAAAAGTCGGAATTCGAAAAAAAAAGTCGGAATTCGAAAAAAAAAGTCGGAATTTAAAAAAAAGTTGGAATTTTAAAAAAAGTCGGAATTTTTAAAAAAAAAGTCGGAATTTAAAAAAAAGTCGGAATTCGAAAAAAAAAGTCGGAATTCGAAAAAAAAAGTCGGAATTTAAAAAAAAGTTGGAATTTTAAAAAAAGTCGGAATTTTTAAAAAAAAAGTCGGAATTTAAAA